ACTTCAAAATAATGACGTTAGACCAATCTAAACTTCTAGAGCTTCAAAACTCTTTTACCTTCTTTTGTTAAGGTATTAATTTGGTTGAAAAAAAATTAAGATGACCATTATCATGTGTGTTTGACGTTTAACAAATGAAATAATGACTCACATCCTTCAACTGACAAGACAAAAGAAAAAAAATATTATTAGCCAATTTTCTGTTAAAGCAATCTGCACTCATACTCATATAAAATTATTTGAACCAACCCACAATTATACGAATAGACATACACAACACAAGGAATTGTGAACACCTTACAAGTATTTCGATTCCATACCTTGCTTTTCCCCATTATGCTCAGATGTACAGGACGAAAACATTCAAAAGCACAATAAAATGTACATATTTTTAGAAATATAAAGGTTTCATCCCAGCTTCCAAAAATATTAACTAAAATAGAGTAAAACTTTTAGGCAATTTTTTCCCTCTAAATACCCACTTAAAGTAACATAGGTTGCAGAAACCATTGAAATTTATAATTAATGAGGTTGTCATGGTTTTAGAAGTGGAAAACTTATTTCTACTATTCATTATCACAGTCAATAATTTTATTTAGAAAACAAATTTATGGCTTGGATATTTGCAAAGCTATGCACATAGGAATATCTGTTGCAACATTTTTTTTCCTCCATTTGCTTTGTCCTTAATAGATTATACAAATCCCAATCAAACTTTAAAGCTATAAAAATAGTAAAATATTATGGTAGCAATTTGAATTTTAGGGAGGTATGGCATGCACACATGGTATATCACTTCATTTGCAATCCAGATATCAAAACTTGAGCTAAATGTCCATACAAATAAACACTAATTAAAAACATGAAAAGGTCTTAAGAAGAAATAAAATAAAAATTTAATGCATATCTAAATCATTGAAGTGTGCCCTTTTTTCCTGTCTCTTTGAATGAGCATAAAATTGATATAAACTCTTTTAGTGCAGTCATTTCGTTTGGCAAAAAGTCTCAAGCAACCTAGAACCCATGAGCTTAAGTAATTAAATAGTTCCAAAACAAATTGCATTCAAATGATATGCCAAGAAGTCATCAGTCAAGCACTTCTAAACTTTCATGTGACCAACTAACGATCAAGAAAGGTTTTTAAGAAAACTGATTTCATTTCCCATTGATGGATTTTTCAGATGAAGAAGTACTTTCTAAAAATAACTGTGCCTAGATATGGGCATCTAATTTTGGGCTGCTTAATCACCTAATATCTAAGTTTTGTTTCTCATAAGATATGAAATTTTTATTAACAGGAAGAGAAGTAAAACACTGGTGGACAAGGAATCCAACTATTTAACAATAAAGAAAAAATAAAACAGTTACAATAAAGATATAAAATCTAAACACGAGAGAAAAAAAATCAAGTGAGCCAATCATGGATTAATTCCTCTCTAGTTTTCTAGCAATTTCATGCTCACTTCAGCCAAAGCTTCCATGGTCTCAGGCCTCACAATGATGGTGAGATTGTTCACCAGATTTGCACAAAATCACAATGAGAAATTGAATATAACAGTAATATTGTAATAATTAATTATCATTATTGGTTGATGCTTAAGAAAATATTGCTTACCAGCCTTGGCCATCAGGTCTCCCAACTCGAGGACTAAACCTATCGTTTGGCAGGTGAGCCATAAATCTCCACAAAAATCAACTCTTGAGCTCTTTGAAACAATAAAGATAGAAACCCAACTCAAATTTGACTGCAAAATGAAGAATACCCAAAATATTATGTCAAAAAACCTTGTCGATACATTTGGCAATAGATCAGATTCACTGCAACTCAATTAATGGATAACTTCAGTACAGTATCATATGTGCATATTCATAATCAGAATGTATGCAGCCAATTCAAAAAGAATCAAAGATGGGTTCGTTGGAGCGTGGTGAAACAAAATGTGCATAGAAAATAGAAATCCATAAGGAAGATAAAGCCTTAACAAATCAAATCTCAGATATTTGCACCATAATAGACCAAATGGATCATTGTCAATTTGCAAGAGAAAAAAAAAAGGAAAAGACAAACTCCCACGATATGAATAGAAATAATACATGCATTTTGAAGAGGGACTTGACGAGGCTAGAACACAAGGAAATCGTAAGAATCAGGCAAATGTTGCTGTAAGAGCAAGATCTTTACCAAGAAAACAAAAGTAGGAATAACCAAGGCTGTTTTCGACTATCCAGGAACGATCGTTGGATTTTCCACTCTTAACAGTGAAGGTAAGTTTCAAATGCTAATTGGTGGAATATCTGTTTTAACTTGTAAGAATTCGTAGGGTCTGAAAACGCTTTGTATGCCATTTGAGTTGAAGGGGAAAATTGGATTTAAGGTATAAATTAAGGACAACAAAGGAAAATAAAAGGCCATGTTTGGTCAGCTTTTTGGAAACTGTTTTTTGTTTTAAAAATTTCAAAAACACCAAAAACATGTTTGTTTAGCATTTCTGTTCTCAAAATTTTAAGAAAAAAAATGAGATTTGAGTCAAAGAAATAGAAAATAAGTCTAGGTTGTTTTTAAATTTTTCTTTGAAAATTTTGAAAACAAAGAGAACAATTTTGGACTTTAATGAGGTCTGTCCTTCGAGTCTCTTTAGCAGCAAATTTCTTCATTTCTTTTTTTTTACTTCTTCCTCTCTCTCATAATATATAATATATTATATTCTAAATATTATATAATAGATATTATACTATAATAATAATATAATATATTCTATAATATTTATACATTTTTTGAGCTAATCTTGTTATAATATATATTATATTACATTATATATTATAATATATATTATATTTTAAATTTTGGTTTATTGAATTTTTTTTATGAAATTATCAATTTAAAAATATTTTTTTTATATTTTTTTATTAATATTTGAATTACTGTTCAAACATATATTTAGGCTGTCTAAACAAGTTTTACTATTTTCTGTACTGTAAAATTGTTTTTGAAATCATCTAACCAAACAAGTTTTTTATCTCAAAAAATATCAAAACTATTTTCTTAAAACTCTTCTCAAAAACTATTTTCGAATACTATTTTTTGAAACGCAAACCAAACAGGCCCAAAGTTTTTTATCTTTACACACTTTTATATGTAGTATAGATATAGATATAGATATCATACTAAACAAAGCATTAATAAATATTAATTAGAGTAAGAAAAAAATTCCTGCTATACACAAAAAAGATTTGTTGGGTCATGGGCTGACTGCTAAACCAGTATATAGTCTTCGGGTAGGACTGTTAGGATTTGGAGTGAGCATGGGCCTTGCCAGGCAAAGACGTGTTAGGACTTAGTATTGGGAGTGTTTATGGGCCTGGGCCCCCTAACCACAAACCAAAACTTAATCCCTTCCCCCCTCCCCCCTCCCCCCTCCCCCCTCCCCCCCGGGCCAACCTTCACGACTAAGACTTGCGTTCGCATTATTATATATAAGTGGATCGTGTAAATGAACATCCATACTTAACGTACATCTCTATGATTCAAGACAGGCTAAACCATGTGGGAATGGAAGAAGAAGAATCAAGACTGCTTATCATGTGTTTTCGAGAGTGGATTAAGGAGTAGAAGAAATGTTTAATTATTAGGATAAAGCCTGTTTACATGAGAGATTAAGGAGCTTTTGGCCATTACTTGACATTTCCTATCCTTATCAACAAGCATATATTATTGTTTTATTCTAATGTGGCGTTCTCCCGCATGAAGCTGTTTGAAGAAAATATTCAAGGTAATGATTACATCACGCCATTACTGTCACATAGTATAACCGATCAATTATGAATAGTATGTAGGACTAATAAAATCCACCGAATTATAACTTCCACGTTATTCAAAACTATCGAGTAGGATTTACTTGTCCTATTTATTTGTTTATTATTGGTTAATTCTACCTTTGACATCGGTGAGATTATGTATTTTGAGTGTCTAATCAGAACAAAACACTATATCACTGAACTCCTCCTGTAATGCTAGCAAAAATGAAAAGCAGCCACTCCAAATCCAACATAAAACATGGTGTGCCCATTCCAATTCTCTAAAGGAGGAATGCCCAAACCATCCCCATATAAAATAAACTGTAACCTCTCTTACCTGTTATATATAATTAGACATAATGATGAAAGAAGAGGTACAACGTATGAATTTCCCAATTACATAAAATACTATTTCTATAGTGTAAGAAGGAAAAAAAAAAAACCAAATAAAAAACATCCACATGGACATCTTCGTCAGCCTGGTCATTCTAGAAGGATTCCCGGAGCCCACTCGAAGAATACTGGAGGAGTTCAACAAACAAGCTGTCCTGTCCTCCTCTCTTTTCCGCAGTCCAAAAAAGACCTGCTTCATCTTCTTCCTTTTGAAAATGCCTTTTTCCTAGCTGATGCATGGATGTCTTACCAACCATTAATGGTCAGGTCTTCATCAATTTGACCAACTTCTATTAGCTGTATCCCACTCTCATCCCCCATAATGGCCTTACAGGTGGGTCCATATGAAATATTAACATCTATAATAAGCCCTCTCACCAACCAGAACCAGTTTTTGGTTGTGCTTGGTACATATTACCAATTGAGTGCTTGGAAGAAATATATATATATATATATATATATGCTTACTTTTCTATACACTTTTCCCTTTCCTAGTCAAAACTGTACAATGCTTCTACCTCTGCCTTTTTTATTTTCTTTTCCATGATTTCCTATTTCTTCTCCAAGTGGTTTGATATTGTGAATAATGGTGGTGTTAGAGATGAACCCCCCACAATCCTCTAAAAATGCTCCTTATGGAATTCAAATTTGGTAGAACCTTTTTGATTAAACTCATAGCAAAGCTTGCCGAGTTCTTTAGCCAAGACTGGTGCCCCACAATAGAAAACTCCTGCTCCAGAACACCAACGACACAATGATGGCATAAGAAAAAAGGAAATTCTTTTCATTATGTAAGGTTCGTGGAGACTAGATCACTCACCTATTCTTGCATTAGCATGCTTCGTACACGTTTTCGAGAAAACCTTCTTCCAGTTTGGCCTTGCAAAATGGGTTCGCACCTGTTGACATAATAACCACGAATATAGATAAACCTACCCATAATAGCTCATAATGCAGTCCCTTTACGAACTGTTATAAAGCATTTGCACACATCATACCCATAACTCAAAATGATAAAGTGGCTAAAATTCTAAAGACAAACCACTAAAATCTTAGGATTTCTCCCTCTAAATGTGTATGGGTCCTAAAAGAATAAAAATGAGGCAAAACTTCAAACGTACCCTTGTGCCAGATACAATATCAACCCCGTTCTTAGCATGATTGAGTGCTTGGACCATGGTGATAAGAGCGGATCGGGCATCCCCTTCCTCATAAACACTGGTCAAGTAGTTGTGCATTTCTATTACACCCTGAAACGCAAAATGATAAATGTAACAATCAATAAAAGAACAAACAGTGAAATAAAAAAAGAAAGGATCTAATGTCATATGTTACCCTTTGATCAAGTTCGGCAACTTCGTTCATGACCCCTTTGAACCAATCAAAGGAGCCTTGCTCCCTCGTCACCCAGTAGAAGTAAGCATTGGTGGTCTTCAGAGTTTTTCTCCGTTTTGGAGATGCCTTACTCAGAGAGGGAGAATCAGTAGTCCCAACACTATGATCTGAGTGCCTGCTCATATCTGAAATTGCATCCTGTAAAAAAAAACAGAATTTTAATTTTTTCTTAAATAACAAATAATGGAGTAGGTATTCCAATCTCATATAGAATGATAGGATATTGGGAGTCAGACTTATTACTTACTGCCTGTTCCTCCATTTTGACAATGTTGTTGAGCAAATCTTTCAGAATACTGATAAAAGGTGTTGCTCCTATTCCAAGACCAACAAGTAGCAGTACATCATATTTCCGATAATCTTGTGCTGGAGCACCATAAGGTCCATCTATTAAGAGCTTTGGCAAACTGCAATCCAATTATAATTTTAAATGGCAACAGCAATAACCACTAAATGAAGCACACAAGAAAAATAGACAGAGAAAAACACACAAACTAAAACTAGACTGGACCTTTTCTTGGTTGTTTCATCAGCCCTGAGCAGCCCACTCTTCCCAGCAACAGGAGTCTCACATGCCTCTGAGAATACCCTCTTAAGTTCCTGTGTCCAGTCACCTAGCTGCCGGATGTGAATGCTAAGGTAGTCATCTTCAGGAGCTGAGGTAATGGAAAACGGATGCCTAGCATTATATAACATAACAAATCAGCATTAAGCACCAAGAAGTAGTCTGTTATTACTTAATAAGGTGACCTTCCTCCCTAAATATGCACAGTTAAGGTTGATAAATTAGAGAATTATAGATGAAAAAGTTGTAACTACAGGAAAATTCGGGCTACAAAGAGTGAAATTTATTTAACGTTTTATGAGGACGTATCGAAAGATGTAGAGTTGCCTGGCTGGGATGTCCCCAATAAATTTTGCCCTGTCTCAGCACCAAAGTGATTTGGGTACTTCAAATAACAGTTATCAGGTAAAACAACATGGTATGTATTGAGACCTTGAGCTTATACAAAACTGCGATGACCAGCAATTCATTGGAAACTCTAGGAGACTAAAAACATTAATGAATGTCTAGCCAAAGCCACAGATATATCTGCAAACATAAATGATGTGTGATTTGAGGGATGATGACAGTGATTTACCACTCAAATGGAGAAACAGATGGGCACTGGACGAACATGTACTGTCCACTCTTGTACCGAAACTGGAAGGCTTGGACATTTGTAGCGTTAGAACATTTCCTGGATAAATAGCAACCTGAAAATTTTAAAGAACGAAAAATGGTCAACTACACTCGCAGGATAATAATTGACTTAGAGACCTAAATTAATTCATGCACGAAACACTGGTCCCATTTGTTACTAATCAATATTCCCGATGTACACAACGCAATGCCACATAAGTATTGCAATATTTGGAAGGAAGGTCTCACCTTCAGAAGCCGAACCATACAAGCCAGACCTGAAGAACCTAAGGGTCCTTT